TCACTCTTCTTTATGCTTCCTGGCATTATGATATGGACGGCTGCTCAATTTACTGTCAAGTCCTGTCTCCACAGACCTGTAGTTAAGTGGAAAACATCAATGGAAAGTCCAGTGCCCTAACAGTGTGGCAAAACAACATCAAAGCCCCACAGTGAAGCTGGAATAGAGGGAGTCCCACGTTAGGATTGTATTCACTGTGTCAGATGTCTGTTGGGTGTAGCTCCCAGTGAGATGTGGAAGCCCCTCCCCCATGTCTATGCAGTTCCTAGTAACACCCAGCATACACAAAGACTATGATAGACGCAGCATTAGACGGGTAAGTGATTGCAAAAGTCAGTCCCAAAGGGTCTTTATCTCAGGCTGGCTCTGAATTCCCTCAGTGACGGAGGAGGAGGCCCATTGTTATATCATTTTACAAACTTTGGGACTTGGCGTGTTGTTGAGTACAGGATCTTGCAGCCCCAAACCCTCCTGAGAATTAGTCTTTCAACGTCTTTCTTTAAGTCTTCCTAGAGTCTTTGGGGCAAAATTGTTTTTGTTTTTCTAAATTGACTACAGAACCATATTTCAGAAGATTGGAAAGATGGCTCAGTGGTTAAGTGTACTGACTGCTCTTCCAGAGGACCCGGGTTCAATTCCCAGCACCCACATGGCAGCTCACAACTGACTTTAACTAAAAGTCTGACACACTCACACAGACATACATGCCTGAAAAACACCAATGCAAAATAAAAAAAATATTCGAAAGAATGGTTGGTTTGACACACTTGTCTTGAAACTTTTCACTTGGTAGAGAATCGACTTTGGGGTGTGTGTAGTAAGTTTATTTTTATCTTATTTTTCCCTGAGGGTTTCCCTGTGTAGCCCTGGGTGTTCTGGAACTCACTATGTAGTTCAGGTTGGCCTTGAACTCAGAGATCTCCCTGCCTCTGCTTTCCAACATTTTATCATTTTAATCAGAAACCAAACCAAACCAAACAAAAAACTCAGGAGGTTGGAATGGTGACTCAGCAGCCAGAGCACTGGCTGCTCTTCTAGAAGACTCAGGATCAATTCCCAGCACCCACAGGGTGTTTCAGAACTGTTTGTAAGTCCAGTGTCAGGGCATGGGATGTTCTTCTGTCTCTGTGGGCATGGCATGCACGTGTTGCTTAGACATACACACAGGAAAAACACATGTTAAAACAAAACCACCTCAGAAACAAAGCATACTGCCTATAAGGAAATATGTGCACACAGCGTGCACCCTAAATTTTATGCTTCTTCCCTGGGGTTAATGACAGTTAGCGGTATGGTGTGTAAGTTCACATGTTAATAAGTGTCTTGATTTCATCATGTGTATAAATTACTTGGAGTGGTGGACTCTGGAACCGGTGGATTCCTGACTTCATACCTCAGAACAAATACGTGACCTCAGGAAAGTACTCCAGGGCCCTGACGGCAGTTACCTCATTTACTTTCAGGACAGCACTTACAATGGGGGGCATGCTGGGCACTGAGCGTTGAATCTGATGTCCCTTGGAGCTGTTGGACTGAGACTGGCGGTACTTCTTTGGTATGCTGTGGAAACTTAAGGGCATCTGGCCTGACTGGGAGAAACTAGTCCCTAGGAGCAAGTCATCTTCAGCCTTCCCTCACTGCCAGCTGAGTCTCAAAGTGCTAAGCAGGTTTGCTGAACTTCCAGTTAATGAAGGCTTTATTGCCTACAGCAACAAAACGGTGTGGCCACCAGATCCCCTAGAGCTAGAGTTACAAAAGGTGGTGAGGTTCTGGGAATCAAACCCAGGTCCTCTGAAGAGCAGCCAGTGATCTTAGCTGCTGAGCCATCTCTTCAATTTTATCCTTTTTCTTTGTTTTTTTTTGGGGGGGCTCTCACTGGCCTGAAACTCACCACACAGGCTAGGCTGTCTGACCTGTGAGCTCCTGAGGTCCCGCTCTGCTCCCCCAGGCGTGGGATTCCAAGTGCATGCCACAGTGCATCACATGGCGACGTCTGGGGACCAAACTCGGGTCCTCACACTTACACTCTACTGACTGAGCCTTCACTGTTGTCAAGACAGGGTCCCAACAGGCCAGCCTCAAATTTACTACGAAGTCAAAGATGACCTGAAACTTCTGATTGTCTTCCCTCGCCTTTTCAATGCTGGGATGAAAGACATGTGCCTGGTTTAATGCAGCACAGGAAACCGAACCCAGGGGTTTATGCTTGATAGGCAAACACTCTAGCAATGGACTCGGATTCACAGTCCATGATTGTGTGTATAATCAGAAGTGACACATTGCAGCCTTGGTGTTACCCATGTGCTCTGAACCACCATCGTGGACCATACCATGGGCATGCTAATTGAAGAGGGAGGCTCTGTCTAGAAACCAGGTTAGAATTGGTAGCATCTGGACCCCTAGTGATCCAGATGTAGTTATCTGAGAAGCTGGTTGGAGAGCAGAGAGATATAGAACCATGTTTTTTTTTTTAATTGAACAAATCCTTTCTGTTCAGGCTATGGCTGAGCGGCCACATTTCCTTGGGCCATATATTTCTCTGATAATGCTAGAACGTGTCAAGAAAAAAATTGAGTCCAATGGCTTGGGTTAATTACTTACCATGTATCTCAATGGTTTGATGATCCTGAAATATTGCTGCAAAAAGCTCTTGCAGAGGCTCTCTGGAGGCTGTAAAACACAGAGGCTGGACTGCGATGTGAAGCTCTGATGGTACCGTGAATTATAGCCAAGAGGAATTCTGGGCTGCTAGGAGCAAACTCTTAGGATGAGTGGTTTAGACATAAAAGTAGCCTGCCCCCATGAGCTGGGTGAAGAAGCTGGCACCACTCTATTGCTTGGGGACAATTACATAAATTCCCAGAGTGCTAGGGAATTGTCACTCACTGTGTCTCCTGTCTGGTTTTTTTCTTTCTTTTTCTTTTCTTTTTCTTTTTCTTTTTCTTTTTTTTTTTTAGATAGGGTCTCTCTATGTATCCCTGGCTGTCTTGGAACTCACTATGTAGAAAAGGTTCCCAAATCTGTCTGTGTCTCTCAAGTGCTAGGATTAAAAATGTGTGCCACCACTTTTGTGGGGGTCATTTTGAAGAACACTTTATTTTACAGAGGCTGTGTGTGTGTGTGTGTGTGTGTGTGTGTGTGTGTGTGTGTGTGTGTGTGTAGGCCAGAGGTTGATATTGAGTGTCTATCCTCTGTCCATCTCTCCCTTTAGGCCCTCATTGAATTGGCTAGACTGGCTGGTCAATGAGCATCAAAGGTTGCTTGACTGTTCTCCTTAGTGTCTATTCTGTACTTGGCAGAGGCCGAGGGCAGGTGTCTTTCTCAGTGCTCTCTATCTTGAGATAAGGGCTCTCCCAGAGCCTGGAGCTCACTGATTTACCTTGGTTGGACGGCCAGTGAGCTCCAGAGATCTGCCTGTCTTTGCCTATTCCCCTCCCCTCTGCAGGACTGTGCCTAGACTTTATGTCAGTGTTGTGGATCTGAACTTAGGTCCTCAGGCTCTGCTACACCAGACCAACCCTGCCCCACCCTCCTGAGTGCTGGTGTATCAGACCCCAGGCCGTGGCACAACTGATACCATGGTGGAAGTACCGTCCATGCCTTGAAACCCAGCTTGTAGACACCAAGAATTATCTACCAGAATAAGAACAAAGACCTAATCCATCAAAAATCCATAATTCTGAGAAAGGATCTTGCTTTCTGGCTTCTGTAGTCTGCCTCTGGCTAACTGTTCTTGCTGAGGCATGTCAACTCAGGATGTGGGTTTTGTGCTTAAAAGCCCACCCTGAGAAAGGCTCAGGACTGCAGTTGGGTCCCAAACACTCAGTGTAGTCACCAGCTGGTTAATTAAGACTTTGTTTTTGCACTGAACTGAACTGGAATCCAGTGTCAGAAAGGGAGAACTGATGAGCAAAGGGGTTAAGACTGGGCTGGTTTAACCCACAGAAACAGTTGACCTGAACAAGGGGGGAGCTCTTGGACCCCAGACTGATGGCTGGGTGGACAGCATGGGACTGATCCAGATCCTCTGAAAATAGGTGTCAGTGAGAAGGCCTAGGTAATCTATGGGTCCTTGGGTAGCATTTATCCTTGGCATACAAATAGACTTTGGCAGCCCATCCCACAATGAGGGATGCTCTATTAGCCTGGACTCCTAGGGGAGGGCCTAGGCCCTGCCCTGGATGAAATGACAGACTCTGGAGATCCACCATGGAGGGCATCACTCTCCCTGGGATTGGAGTGGAGATTAGGTGGGGTGGGGGGGGAGGAGGGGAGGGAGAGAGAGCTGGGATTGATATGTGAAACACGCTTGTTTCTAACTTAAAAAAGAAGAAAAAAAAAAAAAGACTTTGATTTTGTTTCTGAGACAGGGTTCCTTTGTAGCCCTGGCTGCCCTGGAACTCGCTCTGGTTGGCCGCTAACTCAGAGATCCACCTGCCTCTGCCTCCCAAGTGCTGGGATTAAAGGCGTGTACCACCACACCCAACTTAATTAAGACTTTCGATTGGCCTGAACCTGTGTTTGAGTAGTCTTCTCTGGTGGATACCCCTGAAAAAGGGCATTACAGCTATGTACTGCCACACCCATGGTGCTAGGGAAGAATTCCAGGGTTCTGTGTATCTGCTAGACAAATATTCCGCCAGCTGAGCTAGACGTCAGCCACCTCTATATAGTTTTCAATAGAACCCATGACTTCACGTACGCTGGGCAAGTGCCTAGTCCTTCTAGCAGAGGAAGTACGAAAAGTGATGTCATGGTCCCACCCCCACAGGAAAGTGCACCGTAGAAATAACCAGAGTGAAGTCAGACAGACCATTTGCTTACTTTGACCAAGTGGCTTGGGAGCACTTGGGAGCTGAAAGACAAGCATGAGACAGCCAAGCCACCACATTCTGAGCAACAATATTTTTGGGCTATTGCTGCAGGTAGTGATGGATCCAGCTAGCTTAGGTCATGCGAGGGCCACTCACTCACTGTGTTTAAAGATGACAGTATCTCAGTGCATGGGGGGTTTGTTTTTATTTGAAATATATTAACAGTCAAGAGGTCACATCAGAGGTGACTGGTGCTGTTGGTTCCACTCTGATCTTCCAGAGTTCCTGCAACACACAGAAATGACAGGGTCTGAGGAGTCACATAGCAGAGCCATGACACCAGGGCAGGGATGGGGGCCTTCTGGTCTTTGAGGCTCTGGTCACTATATGGTGGCACAGTGGCTGTGTAGACCAAGTCTAGAAGTAGCCAAAGGGATATTGGTATGCCACATAGTCACAGGGGACTGAAGGAATGGCAGCAAGGGGCCATAGTCTTGCCATTTCGGGGACCTTAACCACTGTGATCTGCATCTGCTCCAGATGCAGAACGAAGGAGGGAGCTTGAGAAAGCAGGGCCCTTCTGTCACTGCCTTCCCTCTCCTGAGAATGAGGCCTGATCTCCACAGCAGAAATGTCGAGAGAACACGATTCCAGAAGGACTTCTGTGAATCCAGCTCCTGGTAATTTTCAGGGTAATTTTGAGTTTTCAAATTTACTCTAAGTGCTGGGTTTAAAAGCTGTAATAGCAGGTTCCTTGGCTATAAGATGACGTCCCAGATCTGCCAGTTCCTGGCTTGGTACATTACTAAGGCAGTGGACAAAAGGTAGGTGGCACTAAGCACATGGGTCACAACCGCAGGAGGGTTATCCACCGCCTGGCACGAGCAGATGTAGTCATTAGCATGATGGTCAATACTGTCACTTGGCAGGATCTAGGCTCACCCAGGTGACGAGCCTCCGCGCATGTCTGTGATGGAGTTCAGACTGGGTTAATTAAGATGGGCGGCACTGTACTGTACCATGGGCTGGGGCCCTTGACTTAAAAGGGAGAAGCCACTTGAGCACCAGCGTCCACCTCTCTCTGCTTTCTGACTGTGGATGCCTGTGACCAGCTGCCTCACACTCCTGCAGCTTCCACTTTCCCATTATGAGGGGCGACCCCTCACCCTGGGAGTGGAACCAACCCTCCTCCCCCTCCCGCTGCTTTCATCAGGCAGCACCCAGACCTGCTTTACCATCTGCAGGACTCCTGCTCCTTCCCACTGACTTACTGCTCCCTACTGCTTTGTGGGGTTTGAATTTGGAGTGTCTCCTACACGTGTTCCTCACATGCTTGCACTGCTTAGGAAGGGGGTGAAACCTTGAGGAGGGGAGGCTTGCAGGAGGAAGAAGTGAGTCACCGTGTGCAGGCTAGTCCCACTGCCTGTTCACTGCTTCCTGAGGGTGGGTGCAATGTGACCAGCTGCCACCTGACACGATGACTGTGTCCTCTTGAAATGTGACCCAGAATGAACATTCCTTCTGAGGTTGCTTCGGTCATGCCCTTGTCTCAGCAAGGAGGAAAGTAACTGAAGCCTGCCCTCTAGCTTCCTCTGGAGTCTTAACTGCCCATAGAGAAAGAACATGAGACAGCCACAGAGCTGCTCTGGCCAGGTGACTATTGAGAATGGCTTCACCCCCCCCCCCCTCCAGGGGTCACAGACAATGTTAATCTGCAGCCTCTCCTAGCAGAGGAGGATGATGGGACAGTAAGGCTGGCCCATGGCTTTGTTTCCCACCACCCTCACGGGGCTGCATCTACCAGCTGCCGGATGCGCTCATAGATGAGCAGCTGCGGAAAGGAGGCCTCCACAGGTTCCACCATGAAGCGTAGTCCGCCATCAGCCAGTTTCTCCAGTGAGTCCAGGGAGGCACGGAAGTGATCGTAGGCTTCACAGGTTACGTCCAAGTGTCTCAGTGTGAAGTTGAACCTGTGGATTGACCAGGAAGGGCTCACTCCCTTGCATCCTAACAGCTTGAAGTTTCCCACTTAATGCCTGCCATTGGGTCTGGACTAGTCTACTCTGCAACCAGCCTTTGAGCAGCTTCCTTTCAGAGCCTGTGCAGATGTAAGCATGGCTATTGGCTCTGTTCATAGACTTAAGGAGCCAAGATGACACCGGGGAAAGGTGGATGCCTACCTCAAGAGTTGCTGCAAATGGATTCCAGGGCCGATTTGCTGGCAGGGTGCTGTGGGTACCATCTATGGGAAGGGGGAACGAGAGGCTGTGGAACAGGGAATCTATAAAATGATTTACCTAGAATTCAAAGTGTTCATCTGTCTTTTTTTCCCACATGTGTATGCACATACATGTGTGCTTTCATGTGTGTTTGTGTGTACATGTGTAAGTGTGGAGGCCAGAGGCTGACATTTATTTTGAGACAAGGTCTCTCACTAACCCAGGCTTGTGATCTGGAGACCACCACAACTTGGCATTTTCCTGGGTGCTGGGGATGCTTATCTTGTCTAGCAAGTGCTTCACCTGTTAAACCATCTTCATGACCCCTTCTTTTTCAAATCTACTGTTTTTGGTTTTTTGAGAGAGGGTTTCACCAGTAAATACGTATGTACATATCTGGGAAAGGTATCAATCCTTTCCTCAAAATGAAATTAACCTTTTGTTTGGTTCTTGATTTTTTTTTTTTTTTTGGTGGTGTTGTTTTTGTTTTTTTGAGACAGGGTCTCCTGGTAGCCCAGGTATGCCTGAATTCAGTATGTAGTGAGTCTGGCTCTGAGCTTCTGATCCTCCTGCCCAGGCAAACAATAACTTAAAACGTCATTTACAGAATTCAGCTTTCCCCATCTGCCTTAAGTCTCTTGTTTATAGTCTATGGATGAGGATCTATATTGGACACTGTCTGAAGGAGGGACTTGGGAGTTATTGGGATAAACTATGCTGTGACGAGAGCCCAAGATGTTCAGCTTTGAATCAAAATCTGGTGTGGAAGAGGCGAAGCTGAAGCAAAGATACCCTGCAGGGTCCTAGCAGAGGGCGGAGACGGTATGAGGGGATGCGTGGCTTCCACAAAGTCTCTTCATCCCTATTTTTACTGACCATTTCATTTTTAAGTTTTACTGAAAACATAGGAACACAGAAAACTTCCTTTTCACAGAAAAAACAAAGTTTAAGTGATACTAATGGCAGGCCTTAATGATGACGGCCCTCAGCATGTGGAAGACGACAGGAAGTGGGGCTGGTGGTGAGGGGTCTGGTCTCAGGCAGGTCCTCATCTGGCACTACCTCACTGAGGCTTGGAGGCCAGCACCCTAGTGTATCTCAGCCTTGTCTGCTCCATTTGAAAATGGAGCCAGGCTGGCTGTGCCTGGTAAGAGTGTAACACAGATTAGAGGGGATAGGTATGCGGGTGAGCCCCAGCCTAGCACACAGCAGGGCACGACAGACGTGAGTGCAGATACCACAATCAGGGTGCAGCTTTGGGAAGCACAGCTCACCTTTTTTCCACTGACAGTATAGCTGTGCAGGCGTTTTTCAGTCTGTGGACGAGTCGGGAGAGCGTGTTAAACAGGGCGTCGGTTAAGTCGTCATCGTAGAACACTGGGGGAAAGAAGGGCATTGGGGAAAAAGTGTACTCAGAGGGAGCGACAGAAACACCATGGAGTGGATCCTTATCAACACAAACAGTAGCAGCTATGGAAGAACGTTCTGGAAAGGAGCTTCTAGGATGTCTCTAAGAGCACAGTGAGACTAGTTCATTAAGTTCTAACTAGAGTCTCTCACAGCAAGCTGCCATTAGCTGTTCCACACGGCAGACCACAACAAATCAGAGCCAGCCTCTTCACGATTGGCAAGTATTTGCTGAGACCGTTGCGAGGACAAGGACAGAACAGGCATAAATGTTTGACTTTCCCAGAATTACTTACATACACGTGCGTGCGTGTGTGTATGTGTGTGATCCTACAGTCAGTCACCTCCACTGCTTGGACACTGGGCAATGATCTGAAGCCAGGTCTTTGTCAGTTCTATGGACTGACAGTTACACAAAATAGGAGCTTGGTAAGGTGACTCTGGGGAAACACAGCTGGCCACTGTCCGTCCATAAACAGCTCCCGTCTTACTCAACCGGAAGAAGTTGAACAAATCTCTCTTAGGCTTCTAGTGCCTTCCAGTGCAGGGAAGGTGCTAATTTGACATCTCTCTGGAGAAGTCATTCAGAGCAGGTGAGGATTTGGGGTCTCTGCAAACACCGGGACTGGCAAAGTAACATCCATGTGAGGCAAGAAGGAAATCTGGTTCAAGAGGACTTAGCCGGCATTGGTTCGAACCTCCAAAGTCTGACCCCAGACAGTTTATTTTGGACATATTTAAGTCCAGTATAACTTTGGAAGAAGGTTTCCTGGTGACAATTATCACAATAGAGCTTAAGGAGTGAATACACCGAAACTCTTTTGCAAAGTACATGTGACAAAGTACTCCTCAAGAATGGGCTCTATAGCTTAAGGGCCCTGGGGAAGATCTGGACTTGTGACCTCACCCCTGGGGATGGGTTCTACTGACTGAGAAACAATGCTCAGGATAAAAGGTCTAAGCAGGAAGAGGCAGGGATAAACACAATAGTCTGGGGATTTGGTACGGCCTGGCTCCACGATAGCACAGATCATCAGGTTGTAACTACACCCACTTCCAGGTTTCTGGGCAGACATAACCCTGCATGCTTAACACTCCTGGATTCCCTACTGCTTATCTATAAGCACAAGGAGCTCAAGCCCTCTGCATGAGGGTGAGATATTGTACGACATGGGTAGTGACAAAGACACAGGATGACGGAGAACCACTCACCTTCAGCTGCAAACAGCACAGTGGTGTTATCGTACATGTCGTTGATATCTTCCTCTGACCAGCTGAAGGGGACTTTGGGATCTACCAAAGAAGAGAAGACCGAGTGGCCATTCCTTCCTTTGTTGGCCACCAGCTCTTATTACAAAGTGACCAAAGGAAGCTTCAGGACAAGAGACAAGGCTGAGCTGGGTGTGGTGGTACACCTGGTAATCCGAGCACTTGGGAGGCTGAGGCAGGTGGATCTCTGTGAGTCTGAGGCTAGCCTGGTCTACAGAGTGAGTTCCAGGACAGCCAGTTACCTAAATGAGGCTTTGTTTAAAAAAAAAAGAAAAAAGAAAGAAGAGAGAAAGACAGAGGAAAGGAAGGAAGGAAGGAAGGACGGAAGGATGGAAGAAAAAGAAAGATAGGGCTAGAGACAGGATGCCCTGCACCTTAGGGATAGCTACACCATTAAGGGGCACCCTTCCCACCAGTGAGGGGCAAGTGGGTTCCGCCCATTCTTGCCACTTGGCCAGGAGCCCTGTGAGAACATTAGCTGTTTACCACCATGCAAACTTACTGACTGTGTGAGACCATGAAATGGGTTATATCCCCTGGCTTCAGTTTTTGAGTTTACAGAAAGGCCACTAAAACCTCTCTCAGAAGATGGCTGGAAGGTCACGGGCTCACAGCAGCATGCAAGGGAGGTGACAGTAAGACTTCCCTTATTGACAGGGAAAAAGAAAGAAGCTGCTGTATAAACAGCAAACATTAGGTCTGACATGTCTGGAAGAATTTAAACTCTCCCAGCCACTCACTGAGCTTCCTGGGAAGCGGTTAGGACCCCGAGGTCACAGACCTGGGATAACAGCCTGGCATCTCTGCTGGTCTCCACTCATTCAGGACTCCCCCTCACACACACTGGGAGGTGTGAACAACAGCATGCAGGTACGTGCCCAGTGTGTGAAGTAAGAGACTAGCTGGCGCTCAGAAGCCTGTGGCAGAGACGTCCCACAAGATACGGGGCTGTGGAGGCAGCCAGGATTCTGTGGCTCACTTGGGCCACAGAGCTGAGGCTTTGGGTACCACAGAGGAGCCACTGAACTTAACGCAACACTGCAAGAAGCACACACCTGTGCAGAGGTCGTCTTTCAGCCAGTCCAGCTCCTTGACCTTAATCACGCCATCTGCAAAGAAGCAGACAGAACTCCCAAACTGCACACAAACGGGAAAAAGGCATCCTAACTCTCACCATCCCCACCATCTAACTGGGCAGTTGTCTTCCACCAGTTCCTCTGTTGGCCCTCTCTCACACACCCCCTTCTCTTTCCACGTTTTCAGTGTTCAGCATCAGTGACAGGGAATATAAACATCTATGAGTCCTGGTCCCGATCCCTGGAGACTGGCCACCCAAAGAGGGGCTAGTAGGTCAGCAGATAACTTGAGACTGTGTGACTAGGGTAATACTAACAGAATGGGCAAACACATGGAGGAGGGGACGAACTTCTCTGTCAGCACAGGGGAGGCAGGGGGGCCTCACTGTGCCCAAGCCCAGGTCATCTATGCTCCAAGTGAACAGCTGCATCTATCTTCCCTTCATCTGATGCAGAGATGCCACCCCGACACTGTGCTCACTGGGTGACAGTGTTGCCTGCTCCCAGCCCCCCCAATACCTGCCCTCACCTCCAGTGGCAGCCAGGTGGCTGTTGAGGGCAACGTTTCGTTGGCACATGGTCAGGAGGTCTGTGCCGACATCTGGAATGACAGAAGGGTGCACCATGACACATGGGCTGTTAAGACATCCGTCTCCATTGTTTTCATGGAGAGCCACCACCAGTAGCCCGACTGCTGGGCTATGGTCATTTAAAGTGCTAGCATGTCTAAAAGCTAGACAAAGGCTATGTGACACGTTTTGGGTTATTTTAGGAGCCTCCATGTGAATGTGATGTAATTTCAAATTTAAATGTTACAACAGTAGTCAGTTTGCCCAGCCTATCACTGTAAGGATTACAAAGGTGTTCAATGCTGCAACTGGCAAGTGGGAGAAAGCACAGCATGGTTAGAGTGTCTGGCAAGGGAAACAAAATGACAAAAATAATGACAAAAATGACCTAGTTGTTACAAGTTACACTCAGCATAATTTCTTTCTTTTCATTTCTTCTTCTTTCTTTCTTTTTTTTTTTTTTTTTTTGGCTTTTTTCAGGAACGGTTTCTCTGTATTGTTTTGAAGCCTGTCCTGGAACTCGCTTGGTAGACCAGGCTGGTCTCAAACTCACAGAAATCTGCCTGCCTCTACCTCCCGAGTGCTGGGATTAAAGGCATGTGCCTACCTACACTTAGGATAATTTCTAAGGATATGGGAACATGTTCTTGAAGAAATACTTCTCAAGATTTGTGGCTCTGTGTGTGTGTGTGTGTGTGTATGAGGTGTGCACTCACACAGTATATAGTGACTATACTATATTCATACTCAAAGCATATAGTAACTATTTATAGAGATTTCAGCTATTCTTTAAGAGTATAAAGGGTGATGGAAAGATGGCTCCAAGGTTGAGATACCACACTGTTCTTTCCTTTTTAATTTATGATTTATTTTATGTGCATTGGCGTTTTGCCTACATGCATGTCTATGTGAGGATGTCAGATCTTGCCAAATGAGTGCTGGAAACTGAACCTGGGTTCTCTGGAAGAGCAGCTAGTGCTCTTACCCACTGATTCATCTCTCCAGCCCATATATATATATCTATATATCTATATCTATCTATCTATCTATCATCTATCTATCTATCTATCTATCTATCTATCTATCATCTGTCTATCATTTAAAACTAAGCTGGGCATGGTGGTGAAACATGCCTTTATTCTAGCACTTTGGGAGGCAGAGGCAGATGAGTTTCAGGTCAGCCAGGAAACATAGTGAGACTGTCTCAAAATCTAAAAAACAAACAAAAAACAAAACTTAAAAAAAAGAAGAACATGTGCCTTTAATCCCACAAATTGGGAGACAGAGGCAGTCAGACCTCTGTGAATTTGATGCCACTACAGAGTGAGTTCCAGGACAGCTAGGGCTACACAGAGAAACCCTGTCTTGAAAAAAAAGACCAAAACCCTAGAAGAAAAAACAGAAAAAGAAACAGATAAATTATAAGAAGATAGTAAACTGTAACACATATGCAGAAATGCGCATACATTCATACATGAATGAGTAAAAGTATGTTTCCTGGTGAGTCCCTGGGGTCAGGACTTGCTTTGCTTATGCTCTCAACTGTTCTTGGCCCACAGCAGTGTCTAATACATTGCATACTGTTGAGTCACTCTTGGGATTGTAACATTGAGTGATTAAAATTTTCTGTTTTACACTTTGTCCAAAGAACAAGCCCTGTTTCTATCATCAGATACAAATGATAAAGCAGTGTGTGATGCCTGTGAAGAGAACAGATTAGGAGTTTCTTGGGAAGTTTGCTCTTCCTTAGTGGGTGAACAGGGAAAGGGCACCAGATACTGCATGCACAGCAGTCTTGGGTGACACTGTGGTGGCTGGGTGTTGAGTGCCATGTGGACAAAAAAATGGGTGGAGAGAACCAGGGGAGGCTGCGGAAACCAGGAGCCACTGGTATCTAGCTCCTGGTAACCTTGTTCATCTTTATAGATCATATACATCATGGAGCCCAGCAGTAGCTCATCTGAGCCAGAGTCAATACCTGTACAATACACAGTATGCGCCATGGTAGCTGCCACAATGCTGGCAAGACCTGTGCCTGCCCCGAGCTCCAGCGCCGTGCATCCCTGGAAGAGGTCCCTTCGGAACAGGATATAGTCTGCCAGGAGCAGGGCGCCCCGCCACACCTGCAAGAGAGAGGACATAGAACCACAGGTGACTCGAGGCTCTGGAGAGACCCTCAGAGACCACAGGAAGTGGACAGGGCCTACCCACCTGCTTGCCTACATCCTCCAGGGGCGTGGCCATGGTATGCTCTGGACAGGACAGAAACCAAGAGAGAAACATCCATGGTGAAGTGGAGGTAGACAGAAGACAGAGGGAGGGGCAATGTGGCGGTCTGCCAGCCTGACTGGATGGGTGGCAGAGTTAAATGACCAAAAAAGAAGCAGAGGCATGGGCTATGCTGCCAAGTGGGAGCATCGCTGAGGCCAGGTATGTGGCCCCTTCCCCTTAAGGTCACTGGATGACTGCCCTGTGGCCCAGGGAGCACATCAGGTCTAAACCCAGTGAAAGTACACACATGTATCACACTATGTCAACTGCCACTTTAAAATCGAAATATATTTACATGCTAATAATAATTACAGCAACTTCCAAAATATTTTCTTATGCTTACAACTGTACCAGAAGGTTACACAGTAAGTTTCAATATGTATGTATGTATGTGTATAAAGTTCATAAGAAACTGGGTGGTAGTGACAAATGCCTTTAATCCCAGCACTTGGGATCTCTGTGAGTTTGAGGCCAGCCTGCTCCACAAAGCAAGTTCCAGGACAACCAGAGCTGTTACACAGAGAAACTGTGTCTTTAAAAACAAAACAAAACAAAAAAAAAAGAAAGAAAGAAAAAAAAGTTCATGAGAAGAGTGGTTGTTATATATTCTGAATTCCAAAATATCTCAGAACAAAATTCTAAATGCTGTCCTGGGGTGGATGAGAACCTTGACTGAGAGAAGAGCTTCCAAGTCTGAAGACCAAAACCACAGGAAAGCACTGGGAGGGAGGCTGCCATATTTTCCACCTTTCCCGTGGGAATCTCTCTAAAAGCTCTCTCCTCAAAAATTCTTTCTCTAAAAGCTCTCTTAAAGTTCTCCTTTAAAATTCTCTAAAGTTCTTTCTAAAAAGTCTCCAAAAGTTCCTTCTTCTAAAAGCTCTCCTAGGTCTCTCCTATCCCACAAGGCTTCTAGTTTTTGTGTCCACAACTCTCTGACAGTAGATCATACTCTCAGAGCCAGGAAGGTGGGTAGGATCTTGAGAAAAGCAGGTGCTTCACATCTCTCCTCTGGACATGACCTGCAAAATGTCCTGGAAAACTTAAGTCTGGGTGTGTGTGGAGGGGAGACATGGACACAAAGACACACTTCCAATAGTGATATTTACTGATTAAAGGGGACTTCTCAGCGCTATATCAAAGGGAAAACTAAGGCTCTGTAGTGTAAGATCTGGACCTGCAGTTCTCACTGCTGATGCCCCAGTGAGAAGGAATTCCTTTCTCTGGGGCACCCAGTATATATTTTATATACAGCCAAATATTCTGGAGTTGATACCTAGAATATTAATCTATAATAAATGATAAAGGCTCCCAACAAACTTGTAAGACAGTGTTTCTAGCACATGCTCACTGGAGGCCAGAATCATTGTGGAATGACACACTCTGTTACTCTAGCCCTGGAGGGGAAGGGAAGTATCCTAGTTTACTTTCCCATGGTTGTGATAAAACACTGACCCAAAGCAACTTAGTTTGTTTATATCTCTACATCAGTCCATCATGAAGGGAAGACAGGGCAAGCATATAAGACAGGAACCCAGAGGCAGTGCCTGAAGCAGACCATGGAGGAATGATGCTTCCTGGCTTTTTCCCCTTTATTATGCAGTCCATGACCACTTGACCATAGGTAGTGCTGTCCATAATGGCTGGGCTTTACTATATCGATAAACCATCAAGAAAGACCACCAAATATAAGCCTAAGAGCAAGCAGTGTTCTTCATGGTTCCTGCCCTGATTTCTCTAAGTGACAGGCAGTGATCAGACACATAAGCCAAACAGTCTTTCTTCCCCGAGTTGCTTTTGGTCACGATGTTCATCACAGCAAAAGAAAGCAGATAGAATCAGGGAACTGAAAGCACCCATGTTAAGTTACAGATTTATTGATCTTCTATTAATGTTAAAATATTTGGATTTTGGTGGATGCTGGAATTAGGTGTGCCTTGATTCCTGGTGACCCCCAGGAATATCAGCTGCAATAAGCACTAGACAGTAGACATAATGCAATAAAGGTTAAAGGAATTAGGCTTGCCCAGGGGTGGGCAGCTGCTACTATCGAGTAAACAACACATACTCCTTCCTGTGCAGTGTGCTTCAGGGTTGCAGTTTTTGGGGGCCACCACCCTTGATGGGGTGAGCTTTGAAGATGCAAGCTGTGTTGAGTCACTTCTGCTCCTGTAAGTTACCCCTCACCTATATTCTTGTAAGTAAACCCAATAAAATCCATTGGTTCACTAAGTTAGACTTCGATGGCATGTTCACTTTGGTCTGTCTTCAGTTCCCTATCTGGGATGAACAGATGTTTGTTATAAGCATTCTTTCAGTCAGCCTGGACCCAGAACCTCGTCAGCCCCAAATGAACACACAGATGCTATATTGGTTATGAAAATGTTGGCCAGTGACTTGAGCTTCTTACTAGCTAGCTCTGTCTTAATTCTAACCCATTTCTATTAATCTAAGTATTTCCATATGGTCTTATTTTATGGGGGTATGCTGAACCTGCAACTCCTTTGCCTGCTACATGAGGACTGCTCAGCATCTCCACAGAGAAGAGAGCGATTTCCTGTTTATTCCTGCTTATATCCTGATTCTGCCCAGCTATATCACTTCCTGCCTGTCTGTACCAGACCTCCAGACCTCTATAGTTAGCTAGTGGCAGTTTCTGCCCAGCTATGTCACTTTCTAGGATCACATGATGACTCCTCTCTGCCTACTCTTGCCAGAATCCTCCTTGTCTCCTAGTCCTACCTATCATCCGGGCTGGCCAATCAGTGTTTTAGTCATCAACCAATAAGACAAACATATACCCAGAAGAACACCCCCATCAGATGTTTGCTCATATTTTTCTAGAAACAGTGTCACACAACACCTGGGGTCCTCGGACCCTTGCTCTGCCTATTGAGCCCAGGCAGCAGGTCTCATAGTGTTGTCTCTGAGTGTCTATCAAAATCCCTTAACTGGGCCTTATCACCTCTCCTTCTCATTGCCCACCACTGCCAGCTTCCAACCATTTGATTGGCCCACTGCAGGTTGCTGTGAACTGACATCCCTCTGTATTCCACATCGGCTACTGCATTTCCTATGGCTTCTTGTTTCCACTGAGCCCAGCCAAGCACTCCACAAACTCTGTCCTGACCTGCACTCTTGCACACTTGGTTAGAGAACAAGGCAGCAGGAGGCAGAAGCAGAGCTTTCTGGAGGAAGTGGTACCTGAGCTAGGACCTGGGGCACTTAGGAATGTGCTAGAAAGTAGAGGTTGGTAGCAAGCAGCCAAGGACAAAAGTGCAGCAGAGAACCAGAAGGGAGGCAAACATGTAGAAGTCTGGGGTCATAAGGTTCAATGGTGGTGAGAGGTGAGTGGAGACCATGTCACCCCAGCTTTTTAAGCTGAGTCATCTGGATTCCATTCCCGGGGCAATAGGGAGCCACTGAAGAGTCTTGAGCAAGAGAAGATCTGCAGGTTTGGCACAGACTGGTAGCTGAGGCATTACCTGTTCTCAGCTCACTAATGTCACTTCTGAACTCAGAGCTGATACCCAAACCTCTATTATGCTCTAACAGCCACTGTGACGCTGCCTTGGTGGCCAGAGAACAAGACCTTTATTTACCTATTTTGATGATGCTGTGGGGGCAGCTCTCTTGTTCTTCATCCCCTAGGAGGTCATCTTCTTCCTGTACTAGAATCATGGGATGTACCTTGTCTCTTGCAGGCTCTGCTGGGTTAGGGTCAGAAGCAGCTCGTGGTCTTCGTACCACATCCAGGTCCCCATCCTCATCCAGGGGAACATTCAACCCTTCCTGGATGGTGATGCCATCCCCAGCCTGGAGGGACAAATCCTCATGACTGCGGCTACTTTCTGACCGAGCAGGAGAGGTCTCCTGTGCGGAGACATCTCTGGGACCACTGTCCTCAGTCCCTGAGTGTGTCCAAGAGTCCCGACTCCACAGGAGCTTGAACTGGGACAGGAAGACTGTAGGCAAGACAAAAACAGAGTGAGCATTGCCAAGGCTCTCGTCTGTTCCCTCTTCTTTGAGAGTGGGACTGCTAACTGGAGATGCTGTAGTTTTTCTTTGGAGACAGGTACCTTGTGGCCTGAGCTAGCCTCAAACTCATTATGTAGTCGAGGGTGACTTTCAAATTCTGGTCCTCCTGATTTTACCACCTAGTGTTTGGATCATACACTAGCACCATATGTCCAGTTTTATGTGGTGCTGGGGTCCAAACCCAGCGCCGTATGTGTGCTAAAGCAAGTGCTCTACTAAGTGTGCCACATGCCCAGCTCAACTGCAGATACCTTTAAAGGTCAGATGGTGTGTACAGACCAAGTAGCAGCAAAGGCTGGCTGGACTCAGCAGTGGCCACCAGAGCAGGAGCAGCGGCCCCTTAGAGAGTAGCCTCTGCTGAGTGAGTGTCTGTGCAGGCGTCTGGCCTGTGTCATGCGATTAACTGTGAAGTCACCATGAAGACAGTATACCAGCTCATTTCATAGACACAGACAATGAGGCTCAGGGATGAGTGAGCTGGTAAAGTGGCCCAGGCACGGTACACACCCACGCTGCCTGGTGCTTCAGCTTCTTAAGGAGGGCAGGGCAAGGCCATGGACTATCTCTCACCACTGAGTGGCCAAAAAGTCACTGTCCAAATTGGGACAACTATTAATAAGCACACCAAAGAAAGAATGAATGCAGAGTAACTGACTAGGGAAGGTGGCTGTAGGGCCTGCAACGTCAGCCAGAGTCGGGGCAGAAGAGGAGGAAAGTGGTGCAGAATTTGAGGGAAGATGGGGTGAAGGTGGCTACAGAGATCAAGGAGGGAAGGATGACTAGGCTGGGCACACTGGCTAAGGTTTATAGGCTCAGTAGAAGGCCCTGTGTTCCTTAGAGCCATGGGGGACCATGGGGAATCCAAGTCAGGGCAGTGCTAAGGCTGGGCTTGCATTTTCAAAAGCTATGCTTGTCTATAGGAAGAGAAGCCAGCAAGGCTGTGCAGACGCCTACAGACACATGCAGCACACCACACACACACACACACACACACACAGACACACACACACACACACAGACACACACACTGACACACACCACACACACACATACACACACACCACACATAGACACAGACACACACACACAGCACACATACACACACTGACACACACCACACACACACACAGACACACACACCACACACACACACAGACACACACACACAGCACACACACACACATACACTGACACACAGAGCACACACAGCGCTGGACTGGCGTCATCCCTGCGTGGATTGTGGAATCACTCACTTCTGCTTTCCTGTGCGAGGTCAGGATGTGACACTCGGCAGGTTTTCAGGAAAGCAGAGGCATGTACTCAGTGAAGAAAGGACACTTACGTGACATGCTGAGTGTAAGTAAAGGAACTTGATTCACTAAAGAAAACAAAATTCGTTGCTGTTCTAGTTTAAGCTGCATCATGAATTTTTGTGGGGTTTTTTTCTTTGTAGAGGATAAGTGGGGTAAAGGGAAAACATTTGACAGTGAAATCATAAAATCCAATGTGAAGCTCCACAGCTTCAGAATGGGCTATTCTGTATAGAAATATACAGAATGGCTAATTGTATAAAAAAGTTAACGTATAGACTTTAGGTCTGGATAAATCTGGTGTGTGAACTTTGTTTTCAGGTGGTTTTTTTTTTGCAATAAAATTTTAATTAAAAAAAAAAGGTGACAAAAAATGGCAGCTAAAACAATTCAGCCTTTACCCCCAAAAGAAGTATGAGAAAAGGGAGAGGGCTTCAGCAGGCACCAGGCTGCTCCACCCAGGCCTGTATCTTACCTGGTTGCCCCATGCCATTCAGCCGCACCATGAGGTGTCTCTGGTTGGGGGTGTACAGGTGGACATCAGATAGCACAGTGTCACTTTTGAAGGTGACCTCATCCATGGCTGGCCCATGTTATTCCTGGGATGCCCCTGAGAGGGAAGAGCAAGTGTTCAGGATGGTGGCTCCCACCACGTAGCCAAGGGAACCCTGGGAAGCTCTTTCCTGGACAAGACCCTCCACACTTCCTTCCCTCCCTCTTCTCTCATCTGTGGGGCTGAGGACCAAGCCCAAGGCCCTGAACCAGCTAGGCAGGCTCTCCATCACCGCACTATGTCCACAGCCGTTTCTACTTTGAGACAGGGAGCCTTGACTTATTCTGTAGTCCAGATAAACAGCGTTTATGATCTCAGCAGGATGACAGGTCTATACTACACTTTATAGTCAAGAAAGCTGGGGAGTCAGGCGGTGGTGGCGCACACCTTTAATCCCAGCACTTGGGAGGCAGAGGCAAAAGGATCTCTAAGACCAACCTGGTCTATACAGTGAGTTCAGGACAGCCAAGGTTACACTGAGAAACCCTGTTTCAAAAAGCCAAAAAAAAAAAAAAAAAAAAAAAAAAAGAAAAAGGAAAAAAGAAAGCTAGAGAAACAGCATAATAAAGAATCACATACCCATCACCTGGATTGATGGAAAACTAGCCCTTTGCCATGTATATTCACCTCATATAATAATATATAACATCCAATAAGAGACTATCTACCTAATAATAGAGACCATCTACCTAATAGAGACCATCTACCTAATAGAGACCATCTACCTAATAATAGAGACCATCTACCTAATAGAGACCATCTACCTAATAGAGACCATCTATCTAATAATAGAAACTATCTATCTAATAATAGAGACCATCTACCTAATAGAGACCATCTACCTAATAATAGAGACCATCTACCTAATAGAGACCATCTATCTAATAATAGAAACTATCTATCTAATAAAGACCATCTACCTAATAGAGACCATCTACCTAATAATAGAGACTATCTACCTAATAATAGAGACCATCTCTACCTAATAACAGAAACCATCTACCTAATAACAGAGACTATTTATCTAATAATGGGGACAATCTATCTAATAATAGAAACCATCTATCTAATTGTAGAGATCACATATCTAACAATATATATAATCTAATATTAGAGTCCATCTATTTAATAATAGAGACCCTATATATACTAACATACCATTTTCCTAATAATAAAGACCATCTAATAATATATGCCCATTTATCTAATGGCATCTACTTAATACCATTTTCTAACAACAGAGACTATCTATAGGATAATAGACCATTTACTTAATAGTAGAGATCATCTACCTAATAGAGACCATCTATCTAATAACATATATCCATCTATCCAATAATACATATCTGCCTATCCAGTAGAGACCATCTCCCTGTCCCTACCTTGAACTAAGAGTGAGCTGCATGACATTTAACTACTGAATTCTTTGCCAATCTATCTCTGAGAAACATTTCCTATAGAACCATATACCCCAATTAGAATTTAGAAAGCCACATCCAAGGCACAATGGCTGCAAACAGGAAGGATTCCTCCAACCAACTGTTCTGCCTTATCACAGAGCACAAAGCAGTGGCAGTTTGTTGGGCTTTGAAGCTAGGCAACTGGGTATAAACCATGGTTCCCAACTCCCAGATATGGACCTTTACCTCTCTGAACCTACTGTCATAATCCCACCATGCAGGAGTGTGGGGGTGGGGGAAGGTGGGATTATGAGTGCTTCCATCACAACAGGTGTAAAATCGCAGCAACTTCTTTGCTCTGAGCTTGGTCTAACCCTGACCTTAACTGCTGCCTACAGGAATAGTTCCTATCTGGATGGTACATGTACTAACTGTGTGTCATCAAACCTTCTGGGACCTCCATGTTTTCAAACTATAAGACAGAAAAAAGTTTAATTTTATTATCATAATTCAGAAGTCGCCGCACATTGGTGGCGCACGCCTTTAGTCCTAGCACTCCGCAGGCAGAGGCAGACGGATCTCTGTGAGTTCGAGGCCAGCCTGGTCTATAGAGCGAGTTCCAAGACAACCTCTAGAGCAATACAAAGAAATCCTGTCTCAAAAAACAAACAAAACAAAAACAATTCAGAAGTTTTCATGCCCTAACTACCCACAGCTGGAGCTCTTGTATACAGATGACTGCCAAGGAATGGCAAAGATACCAACACAGAAAGCTGTTCTCCAAGCTTGCTTTCTCCTTCACTACATAAGCCAGCAAAACAAGCAGGCTGTGTGACTAGGGGCTGGAAATCAGACAAACTGATGCCGGGTTTCATGTGTACCAGCCATCAGCAAAACCACTGGCAACAAACTCAGACAAGACGCAGGCAGAGGAAATGCAGCCTAGCCCCACGCACTGACTGGTTCGAGGCAGACTGACTCCCCTAATTCTGGAGACAAGACAAGTGTCCTGCCTAGAGTGTTTTGGCTTTGGGTTTTTTGTTTGTTTTGCCAAAAAATCCATCCTGCTGTCTTTGGCAACGTTGAACATGAATTAAAGGACAGCTACGGTGCAATTTTGCTGGAATTAAAAAATTACACTTTAGAGAGTGAATGCTCATTGCACTTTCCGAAAATGGGAAGCATACAAAGGCCAACTTGTCTTACACATAAGTGGGAAACAAATTTATTGCTAACTCCTAGTCAAGTTCTTCCACTTAAAAATGTCAACTAAGCAGGCTTCCTAGGAAATGTGGCCTGAGATGGAAGTCCCAGGTTACTAGAATCTTTTTTAACTGACTCTCTCGGGAACCAGCACTTTGGAAATAGAGCAGCACTCCTGTCTATTTGGGGGCCTGTGTGAGGACTAAATGAGACAAGCCCCCCTCTTAGGGCTCAGAAGTAAACTCTAGTCATGGTGATAGAAGAGAGTGCTGGGAAGACGGATAAAGACCTTGGACCAGTTTTTCTACTTAGAAATAGCAGATGCAGTTTCCGCCAGGGAATGTCAGGGCTGGAGGGGTTTCTGGTTCCTCCTGGGAACTGCTGAAAAAGCAGACCCAGGATGCAGACTGCCAATTCATTCCTGTAGGGGAGCTACCAAGCGTTTTAGGCTCTCTAAAGATCGCGGAGCCGGACTCCCACAAATTCTTTAAAGGCCTGCAGTCAGTGTTGTTCCCCAAACCAGTCTGCTGGGATGGTGGCGATGAAAGGACTCCCCTCCTCCCTGTCGGGTGAGACGCACTCCCACTCAAAAACCAACAATTAGGAGCTGGATAAGGGAAAGCCAGGAAGCTGGAGCGCCCAGGGCCCAGGGGTGCGAGAAAAGGCTGGCCACGCGCACAGGGGGCGCCCCAGGAACCGCCTCCCTTCCCCGCCGCTCACTGACTCGTGGGTTAGCCATAGTCCTCTGAAGAGCCGGCCACTGACCCGCCTTCCCTTCCGAATCCCACACCAAGAGGGACCGCCTCACTCCGTACGGAAGCCGAGAGAGGCCCCTTTAGAGATGGGGAAACTGAGGCTGAGGGCAGAACTGGGGTTCCGGCTTCAAGGTCGTGGAAGCTTGGCTCTCAAAGCCAAAACACTCCCTGGGTCCTGCCCGGTCCCATCGCCACTCCCCGGCGCTTACCCGCCATGACCCTGGGCTGGAGTCCCACGCGAATCCCTCGCCGTAGGACTCAGGAAGCCGCCATGACAGACGGTCTGCGCAGGCGTGGTATAAGCTCCCTCGGGTCGCGCATGCGCCTGGCGGCTGCCAGCCAACACCTGCTGCTCTGGCTCAGCTGTCACCTGGTTGGGTTACTCACATGGCCTGCTGGAGTGGAGGAGGCACATCTGCGCTTGGGTATTGAGAATCCCTCCGGGAAAGAGTTTAAATAGGACCCGGCATCAAAGCGGTGTAGAGAGCCCAGGACAGAAGGAAAAAAAAAGTTACTTTGCACCAGGCATTAATGTCATTAAGGTCAGAGGCTAGGCACCAGAGCCCCAACAATCTAGTTTTGGCCACTGGTCCCAACTATGCCAATGAAACAAGTAACAGTCAAAAGCAGACTTAGTCAATATGGCCACATTAGAAAGAGGGACAAAGACATCCAAGAATCCTCCCAAGTACATCTTCGGGGCCCTGATCAGACACTTATTTTAAAGTAGAGAGCTAGAGTTATGCGTAGCTAAGCAGTCTTGGTCAAGGTATGGCCCTGACCCCCATTGCTCCGTCATTGTTTTGGCTCCAATCTCTCCTGCAAGATGTTCTGAAAAGTGTAAATCTCTTTCTGGGAGACAAGTTACCCCTCTGGTTGATCTCTAGCTTTAGTCTTTGTCTTCTCCTAGCTTGAGATTCTTGGGGAAATTCAGATCTTGGGGGTCTGCGGTTTCAGTACCATGAGAGCCAAAGGGAGGAAGGAGCACAGGCAACTCTGTAGACCCTCAGCCTGGGGGCTGAGACTCCTGGGGTGATAGCCAGTGAGGCTCTGGAGACACTTCTTATCTAAACTGTAGTGGAGGCAAATGTGAATCTCACAGCCTCCATTTGCCCTCTACTAGCCCATTTTCTGGGTGTTTTCCCCCCCTGGATTATCAGGGCTCTTGAAAGCCAGGGCTCAAAGAGGAAATGTGGACAATTGTTGAAACAGATAGGGCAGAGGACACCCCAGGACAGGGTGAATTCTCCTCCCTGTTCCCTATAAGTAAGGCAGTGTTGGCACCACCTCGGCCACCCTGGCAGAAGCCACTGCACCCTTTTGCTTCTCTCCTGCTGTCTGCATTCAATCGTGAGTAGATACCTCCCCATGCCAAGACCCTTGGGTGTCAAGACTCAGGCAGGCAAACACACACGTCTATCCCCTGCCGGGATAGATGCACACTAGTGCGATCATGGGAGAGATTCTAAGCCAATATTTATCAAAGTCTTGCTGGTGCCGGGGTGCATTCTATGTGTGGGGCAGGAAGGAAGAGGTTAAAATAGGGAATAAGACAGACTGGCTCCTGCTCTCATGAAACTTGTGTTGGGGAAGGGTCAGATGGTCAGCAGGTGTGTTTAAAGAGTACAGAGCTCTGGGTAGAGAGTTAGGGAACGGAGGGGTCAGGTGGCCCGGGAAGGCCTGGTTGTTACGTCAGGAGGAGCAGAGACTGAAAGAAGCAAGGGAAGAGATGGGAAAGTGATAGCGGAGACCATTCTGATGCTTGTTGTTTCTGAGACAGAGTTTCCTACATAGGCCAGGCACTCCCGGAATTCATGATGTTGCCCAGACTGGCCTCACAGTCATGATCCTTCTGTCTCAGCTTACAAGATACCTGTTTTGGTGGACAGCATTCTAGGATGGAAGAAAAAACCTAGGCAAAGGGCTCAGGACTGTGCTAAGTATATCCATGTCAGCGAAGTCAGCCTGGCTGGAACAGAATGAGCCTGGGGAGGGTAGCCAGGGTCAGAGCTTTGGGTCCATTGTGAGAACTCTCTAGGGAGCCAGGGAGCCCTTGAAAATATAGTTCACAATACTGTAGACAGACAGACAGACAGACAGACACACACACACACACAGAGAGAGAGAGAGAGAGAGAGAGAGAGAGAGAGAGAGAGAGAGAGAGAGAGAGAGAGAGAGAGAGAGAGAGAAAGAGCTGGGCCCACCTATAGACAATGGTTCAAGGAACACAGACATGCACACTCATACAGGACCACATGTAAAATGTGCATTCTTTTCTGAGCATATGCAGTTGCATGCATGAACACCATGTTGCTCTTCCCCAACCCTAGCTGGCATCCTTTCATTAATTACTTTTAAGCCAAGATTTGTCTTTTCAGAACAGAAGTGAGTCAACAGCAATTTCATGACTACTGCTGCTACAACCCAAGCATTGATAGGGTGACTGAACAATGCAAACCAGAAAAAACCCCGCTTTTAAGAAAGAAAAGAAAGAGCTGGGCATTGGTGGCACACACTTTTAATCCTAGCACTCTAGAGGCAGAGGCAGGCAGATCTCTGTGAGTTCGAGACCAGCCTGGTCTACCAAGTGAGTTGCAGGACAGCCTCCAAAGAAAGAAAGAAAAGAAAGCAGACTATGTTTTATGAAATACACCAATGTAGTGATCCAGCTGGGTGACTTGGGATCAAATTCTGGCCCTGATTTACTCTCAATGAGCCTTTATTATATTTTTAGTTGTTGTTAGCTTAGGCTGGTCTCCAACCCACTATGCAGCCGAGACTGCTCTTGAACTCAACTCCTCATCCTCATTCCTCTACCTCCCAAATCCTGGGATTACAGGTCTACAACCCTGGCCCAGGCTGGAGTGAGTCTTTTAAAGCAAAAGTTACAACAGAACCACCCTCCTCATCTCATCGACTCTTCCTGCTGCAGTCACACTGGATTTACTACTTCTCCTGTCCCAGCCATGGTCTCCTCTGATTCCTTTGCATTGACGGAGGAGCTACATCCCTTGACACCCACCTGCTTGGCCCTTCACCTTCTCCCAGCCTTGTTTTAGCACTGAGCCCTTCCCTGACCATCCTATTTAGAGCTGTGTCCCCACCTAGCTTTGGTGTTTTCCATAGCACATCTATCCTGACAGAAAAAATGTTTAATGTGCTTATGTGCTTGTGGTCTGTCTGACTCGTCAGAATGTAGGCTCCAGAAGGACAGGAGTCCTGTCCACCAATTACTGCTCTATCTGCAGTGCCTGGGTTGATGCCTGGCAGATAGGAGCTGTTCAACAAAGATACATGGAAGGAAGGAAGGGAGGGAGGGAGGGAGGGAGGGAGGGAGGAAGGAAGGAAGGAAGGAAGGAAGGAAGGAAAGTGTAGGCAGACAAGCATCAGAGGTGTGTAGAAAAAGTGGAGAGTAGAATTGGCATTGATGGGTATCTTTGGGCTGTCCAGATGTGTTAAGTAGTTGAGCAGAGAAAATTTGGTGGTCTGGGCAGCTTGTCAGTGTGACCTTGAGGTGGTTAATATCTTTTTAAGCTTCCAATCATTTTGAGAGTTGTTTAAACTCCCTCCCACCAGTGACCATTCCAGCTTCACTTCCTTATACTTCCTTCATAAGGCATGGACAACATTCGTTTTCTCTTTCTTCCGTAACTGTGTAAGGCCTCCTCAGAATTTAAAACTACATTTCCCAGCCTCCCTCACCTAGCATGACCCACAGCCAATGGGGATAATGGGAAGTGAGAGACTGCATCATGGAGTAGCTCTTGGGAGATGGATGAGATTAGAGATTGGTGGAAGAATGCTTGCCATGCACGCATGAGTTCTATCCTCAGCACTGAGAGATGGGAAAGGATGGAGGATAGCAAGGAGGATTGACTTATTTTTTTCCCTCTCTCCTCCTCTGGTTTGGTAATGGGATTGGAACCAGTCTCAGGCACACCAGGCAAGTGCTTGACTACTAATTATGTCCCAGGTCTCTTCTCCTTCTTTATTTCCACACAAAGTCTTGTGTCTTGAGCTTGTGGTCATCCTACCACAGCCTCTCAAGTAGCTGAGATTATAAGCCCAGACCAGCTGGGCGTTCTATTTTCTTTCTAACAGAATTTTTAATTGAATCTTAGGGAATTTCACACCATGCACCCCAATCCCATTCATTTCCAAGTCCTTCCATATCTGCCCACCACTCTTGTAAACTGCCCCCCAAATAAAATAAAAATAAATAATAAAAGGCTTCCTCTATCCACCGAAGCCTTCTGTGCAGGTTCCACTCTGCTCCTCCATCTCCCCGCTCCATCATGTATTTGTTGCAGTGGCATTGGGAGCTGTGGTGTGTCATGTAGTATACCTTTTGCCCAAACAGCTTTACTTTTGAATGTCTTTTTTGTTGTTGTTGTTGTTTTGTTTTTGCTATGAATCATTAGTCTAGTTCAAGGCCTCTGGCTCCTGCTACACCAACAATACTGGACCCTCATAGAGACTCTCATATATCCTGCTGTTGCCCTGAATCATGGGGATCCACAGGCTTGGTCCCTTTATAACCTCCAGCCAGCTCACAGATGGGGAGGATGTTGGGGCGGCCAACTCCAAGGCCAGCATGGGGGTCTGGGTAGTAGCTGAGTTGGTCAGCCTGCCAGTTCTCCCGTGCCTGTGTCCACAGGAGCCAGGTCTCTGACTAACCGGCTAGGTGAGGGGTGGGGTCAGCCCTCCCACTCTCCACATGCTCACACAATATTTACTGGCTATTCTGGAACTCACTGTGTATATTGGGATGGGATGACCTTGCCCCTGCCTCCTGATTGCTAGGATTAAAAGTATGTTCCACCATGCCCTTCTAGGTTTTCTTTCTTCTTCTTCTTTTTTTTTTAGACAGGATATCACACAGCCCAGGTTGACTTTGAACTTTCTATGTAGCTGAAGATGACCTTGAACTCCTGATCCTCCTGCTTCTACTTCCCAAGTGCTAAGATTATAAGTGTGTGCCACAATGTTTGGTTTTAAGACAATTTCTTCCATAATTTATACCTACTCTCCTGTGCCTTAAAAGCCCCACCTGAGGGGTGGTGCAGCGAGTCAGCTGGGAGGTTCCTGAGGACTTCACTCAGCCTGTCATCTCTAGGCTTTTAAGCGAGGTGACAATGAATGTCCACATGTATAAGACACAGTTTGGGGGCTGGAGAGATGGCTCAGAGGTTAAGAACACCGCTGTTCTTCCAAAGGTCCTGAGTTCAATTCCCAGCAACCACATGTGGCTTACAACTATCTGTAATAAGATCTGGCGCCCTCTTCTGGCCTGCAGACATATATGCAGACAGAACACTTTACATAATAAAT